CCCCTCCTCGGTATTTCGCCCTCTCGTCTTACCAAGTAGCCGCGAACTTGCTACCGTTTAACCCTCCTGTTACTTTGACCGGGACGCTGGTGACGAGCTGACAATTGTAAAAATAACATTTCGAGATAGAACGGAAAGGGAAAAGGCTGACGTCCGAAAATATGAGAAGACAGAACCGAACCTGAGGGAAATTATGGAAGAGCGACAGAACTCGAGCGTGCTCGAGAAACGTCGTCGCCCGGGTAAAACTTTGTCTTTTGTTCGCGCCCTTTGTTTCGCCCGTGGTTCCCGCGTCAGAAGCGTATTAATGCAGACTACCGGTCGAGTCGTTAGGGTCGTGCTCGCGCGCGTTACGTACCGTACTCGTGTCGTTTCCGCGTCCCGGAAACGGTTTCACAGCAAAATGTAAAAATCGTAATTTCACACGGAATACGCTTCACACGAGGAGATCCAAATAGGGTGGGCACGGGAAGACGAACCGCGTATCCTCTCGCGATTTTTTGACATCGCGACACCGAGTTTGCTTATTCGAGCGATCGAATACTTCCGTCAACCGCAGTTGGACCGCGACCGTCCTCCGCAATTACGGCCGAGCCAATCGTGTCGGGAATAATCAAATCTTTATTTCACTCGGGTGCGAGTGCAGCGTCAACTGCCAAGAGAGAAATCCTGGGGAATGGCCCGGGGTAGAGGGAAAAGGGAGCACGGCTGCTGCCGTGGCAGCGTTCCTCGAGCAACCTAGAGAAAAGGGGAGAAACGAGGAGAGAGGAAACTCGTTTAACGACCGTGCCAGCTAGCTGATACACGAACGACACGAAATACATCTGGAACGAGATGCAAATTATGGACTTACGAAGTATTGTTACGGACTCGCAGCGACGGCGGCATGCGCTGCAAATAATAAATCGCGCGGTGTCCGCGTTAGCTGCGCTGATGGTGGCGAGCGGAGTGCGACGACGACGACGATTTCGTGTAACGGGAGAGAACGTAACGCGGAACCACCATCCGTTCCGTGTGCTTCACCGAACGGCGAGAAGAGAAAGAGGGCGGCGCGATCGTGTCGGACGAAACGAGGAAATCTCGGCTCGTCCGCTACTTCCGAGCGGTTTAGCGCGTTTCGGAAACTAGACGACGTGGACGAGACGCGGCGTGGCGCAGACTTCTCTCGCGGCAACCCCCAACCACCTTCCTCTCGCCCCTCGACTCCAGCTGGTCCCTATGGCAACGCACTTAAGCTCGCTTTAGTATTTCAGTCTTGGGGAGAGGGTTCTCGCCCCTTTCCCCTTGGCTGCTCTCACTCTCTCTTCCTTACTCTCAATATTTCTCTCTCTCTCACTCTCTCTCTCTCTCTCTCTCAGCTGACTTCTATCGTATTCTCTCTCCTGACCAACCCCTCGACAACGGCCAACTATTGCCCGAAACGCGCGTCGCACTGGGCCAACTTGCTCTTTCCACTTTGCTCGGTCCCCTCCTCGCCTCCCGTCGTCCCAGTCGATTTAAGAGGTTGCATACGTTTACAATTTTCAGAATATAAATCTTTTTCACTCAAATCAAATGCTTATAGTGTGTAGATTATTGGGCAAAAGTAAGTACAGTAATAGCTCAATATTTAAAGATGATATTTATCATAATGCGAGAGTGTGTACGATTGAAGAATCCTGTTCCGTCGAACACGAAGAAATGTCAGACGAGAAAATGGCTTTTTCTTTCAGAATGGCATAATTTTCTCATTTTCCACAAATAAAAAATGTTGATTCGATCGTCCATTGCTACAAGACTATTTTATAAATTCGTAATTCAATTTTTATTGCACTGTATTTTTTGAAGGAAAGTCTTTTCTTCCCTCCGCCCATCTCTGGAAACTCTCAGCCACCGGCTCCGAATAGATTTAACTCGGAGTATCTCTAAACGACGTGAAACGGAAGTCCCCGGACTTGTCCCACGGTGTGTCGGGCGCGTTGCTCGATTCCGAGCTCGTGAGTAAATGCCCCCACGTCCGCCCAGCACGCTAACGTCTCTGTCTACCCTGTCGAGGAGGTGCTCCCGGTCTTGGTAAGGCTCTTAACAGCTTGGAAATTAGTTTACCCGTTTTCTTTCCTTCGGTCAAACTTTTCCCCTCCCCGAGCGATTCAGTGCCACGTTGGACCAGAGTTCCTCGCCAATACGACCGCGCGCGCGAGCTTGTCCACGATTCGGACGGTGTGGTTTTCGTGTCCCTGACATCTTCTCTTTCGTCCCTGACGTTACACCGAGAGAGAGAGAGACCCTGGAATCGAACGAGCCCGCGTAAACTCGATTACGGAGCCAGTCGTGTCTACGTACCGACGGCGAATAATCGTCGCGGCAACGGAACCGTTCGCGACGAAACTCTCAGGGCTCCCTTCTATTTTTCATTCTTGCTTTGCACGGCCGTACAACCGTCCATCGAAGGTCCGTAACCCCGTCCTCGCGCTTCGGTCACCCCCGCGTCTCTCTCTCTGTCGCGTAGGAAAATCAATACGCGATAACAAGGTGGCGAAACGCCGTTGATAAGGATGATATTTATTGCTCGCGTTAATATACATCTCGTGCCTCGGGGAACAAAAAGAGCATAAAGTCCGTGCGCTCTTAATGAGCACCGCGGAGTTTATTACCCTGCGCTTAACGGGGATTAAGACAGCTTTAAAAAGGATGCCGCGAATAGGTCGTAGCGGGGAAGGGGGAGGATTGGGTGGGAGCCGTTGTAAAACATTCGAGCGTCTCCGGGATAATGGTGAACGCGTGTAATAACGATAAATCTTGATGTTCGAAAACGTCGTCGCGCGACATCGTATTCTTCGTGCTCGTCGCGTTACCCCCCATCCTTGGAGGTCCGGTGGTAGAGCAACGAGAAAACTGTATTCTCCCGTGGAACGAAACTCACGCGCGTTTCGTGTCCCCTCCCGGATCGAACGCCACCATCGATCGCGATCGAATTGCGCACGCAACACGTCGAGGAGCGTGTGGCGGTGAACGGTGCCACGAGGCGGAAACAGAAGACACGATGTTCAGCCGAGAGGAAGATGCCACGATAATAAATATGCCCAGCACCGGCAGTCATAAATCCCGCGTAATTGAATTTTCAACATCCATAACTGGTAGTCGTCGTCGTCGACGACGACGCGATCTCGGGAAATAGGATGGGATGTATCTTAAACCGAGCAGGATCGTTCCCCCTTTCTATTCTCGAAAAGGCGAAATCCCTTCCAAGCCCTCTTCGATTAAAACGCCGCCCCCTTCTTCGGTCCCTTCGCTGTCTCATCTCTCTCTCCCTCTCTGTCTCTATCACTCCCCTTCCCGATTCTTCGGTGTTCACGGACCGGAACAATTTTTAATTCGCTCTCCAAACCGATTCTCTTCGTACCTCGTTCCATCCAGCCCGCCGCCTCCGTCGTTCACTTTCGCCTCCGAATTCATCCGTCCTCAGTCTCCCACGGCCTATTCGTCTCCGTTACACGCTCCCTCGCCTTTCAAGTCTCTCGCAAACCGGGGGCGGGAGTTCCTTTGACGAGAACATCTAATCAAGGATTTCTTCGAGGTTCCGAATCCTCGCCACGCCGAACTACGATTCTACCTTCTTCGTCTCTTTTCTTCGCGCTGCTTCTTATCTTCCTTGCTTTATTCCGTTGCTGGCACGAATCACCTTGGGAACTTTGATCCCTCGAAGATCTCACCTCGAATAACCACGAAGAAAGAGACTTTTCGAGGACAAGGATAGGATTTCGATTCGCGTCTACCAGTGTTTCGTATCACTCGACGATTTCTCTACACGAAGATCGATTCGAATTTCACGCGAAAAAAGAAAACAGAAGAAAGCAACGGAAGGAATCATCAGAGGACAAGGATAGGATTTTGATTCGCGTCTATCAGTGTTTCGTATCACTCGACGATTTCTCTACACGAAGATCGATTCGAATTTCACGCGAAAGAAGAACAGAAGAAAGCTACGGAAGGAACCATCAGAGGTTACGATACCCAGGTGCTCGGTGTACGTGGTGATTCGGCAGCCAGTGAGAGGAAGCACCGGACGTGCTTGGCTAACGCGCGCGCGAGAGATCGTGGGGAGCCGTGACGCCAGAGATTACGATAAGCCCTCCCAGCGGCGAGAAACAAATGACGTACTAACTGCATATTAACTGAACTGCCGGGCTATCCGTTGACTCCGCCTCCTGTCCGGGCCGCCACGCGAGTACACCACCTACATGCAGGTATACACACGATATCCCACGGCGTCACCAGGCCTGCGTTCGGACTAAACTTTGCCAGGCGACGCGCGACGCCTCCACGGCGTTTCACGACCCAGTAATCGCCTTGTCTTCCACGATGAATCGGAATCCTCGCACCCGATGAATACCGGTAGGTATCATTCTACCAGAGACACCGATCCCGCCAGAAACGATTACAGTTCCCCGATACCTCCTACGAAGTTTCGACTCGACGAACTGTGCGACGAATGCGTTTATCGAACGCATGGAAAAAATCGAACGAGCCTATGTACCTTATTTCCTTTTCCCGGTATAATATCCAGTGGTGTAATCGGACGATTTCCATGCGGTCGTTGGTTGTGTTGCGAAAACGGAGCGAATATGTTATATACGTGCTCTATGATTGACTCAAAGTTCTTCCATTCTGGTCGAAAAGCAAGGGAAACAGAGCGTCGACTGTTCGTCTACCCTCGAGGAACGTAACGCACGTCTCCGTAACTTTCGAATTTCCGCATGAAAAGGAGGACTGCGCTAAGTTAGTTTCCTGCCGTGTTTCCCTAACACGAGGTATCACCCCGATTCGGGAGAAAAAACGTTCCGTATGCGTCGCGAGAATCTGGATCACGAGAGTGTAACGAGATCTTCTCGATTTTTCATTAACGGGGGATTCGAACGGAAAACACGGAGGAATGTAATTTAAAAGAAGAAAAGAACGACGAAGGAGCGAGCTTTATAAACGCTGTGAAACGATAAAGTGCAAATGGGGAAGGTTTGCCGTAGAATTTGCTTTTAATAACGCTTTAATTACAGTAGAATCGATAGCATTGGCGTACACGTCGCTATAAGTGTTATTCACAGTGCCCAGTTGCGTAGCCGCGTGGGATCCAGACAGAAAGTGAAAAACCAAGGACCAAAGATCGAGATCGCACCGGCGACGGTGGTGGTGGCGGCGGCTCGTTCGATGCGTCTCGATCGAACGCCCCAAAGAGAATCTTACCCGTGGGCGCAACCGGATACGAGTATTCGGACGCGCGACTCTTACGCGTCCTCCGATTTCATCTTTTCGGTCTGGGCGGAAGCGTTGTCGTGGACCGGTTCCGGTTCGTGTATGCCCATCCATTTGCAGCGTTTTTGCAACTCTTGACGATACCTGACCGCAAAGAACGGAGGGGTTAGCGTTTCGTGTTGATACAAATGCGCTGGAATCGGAGGAAATCGAGCGGAACCGTTCACGGCGTACCTCGGATGATTGATCGCGTATATCCACGGGTCGATGCAGGAAACAGTTTTGCAGAACAGGGCTGGCAACATCGTCGAAACCGGCGTCAGCAGTTCCCTGAAACGAACGGGGCGTGGGAATTATCGAGAAGTGGTCACGAGGTTCGTTCGAAGCAAGTCGAATGGGAGAATAGTTACCGGTTGCCGAACGCTCCCATCAGCGCGACCGTCGCGTACGGTGTCCACGCGAGCAGGAACAGGAAGAAAATCGTGAACGCCACTTTGGCGATTCTCATCTCGACGCTTCTCTCTTTGTCCTGGTTCGACACCAATGATTTCACGTTCATCTTCTTAGCCTGTACGCGGAAACACAAGGGAACCGGTGAGAATCGTACGATCGTCCCACAAGATAACGATGAACAACCTGTTCGCGCAGCATTTTCTCGTGGTTGCGAATCGACTGGAGTAGCTGAGAGTAAAAGTAAACGATGAAAATCAACGGTATTACGTAGGCCCAGATGAAAATGCTCAAAACAAAGGCTTTGGTGTCTTGGTCCTCCGTGAGGAAATCGAACGAGCAAGTGGTCAGAAAGCCCTCTGGAAAGAAATCGAACGGAACGGCGTTTTGAAGTGAAACGGGGAGACAAAAGAAATCGGATGGTATACTTTAAAGGCTGATCCGTTTACCGGTGGTGTATTGACCCCAGACTTTCAGCAGCGGCAAAACATTGAACGGCGTCGCCCAGAGCCATGTGCAGGCGACAATTACCGCGGCCTGCTTCGAGTTGAGCCGTCCGTCGATCGGGCAGGAAATGGTCCTGCGGGAAGAAATGGTACACGGTCGAGTCGTCTGTGTGTCGCTCCTCGAACGATACTCGTTCGATAACGATGATATAAAACAGCAAATACGATAGATCCTGACAGATCGAAACGGGATTTTTGCAACCTGTATCGATCGAAGGCGATCGCAGCGTTGGTAATCGACTGTCCCATTCCAGAAAGACCCCCAAGAATCGCGTAGACGTCGCAACCAACTTCCCAGCCGATCATACGTTCCATGAAGCAGCTCACAAGGAACATGGGCATCTCGGCCGCCATCAACAGATCGAATACCGCCAAGCTGACTATAAACATATTCGAAGCCGTTCTCAACGATTTCGATCTGAAAGCAAACCCGAGATAAATTCGATCGGGCAAATGGAAAATCCGTGGGTGCTGTTAACGATGGTCGGTACAACACACCCCCGAGAACGGGCGCGCACGAGATCGATCCACAGCGCGTGGCACGAAACGATTTCGCTCGTCGTCGAGGGAGGGCACCACTGTTATCGTATCGCCACCGTCACCGTCGCACCATTCATCACCATCGTGTCGGCGGCTACCCTTATACTCGTAACCGCTATCCACCGGGATGTGGCGCGTCGCTGGCATCTCGAACCAAACGAAGATACACTTACGTGCTAAATATCCATATGACGCATCCGTTTCCCACCACCGACATAAGGAGCAATACGGTGTAAATGAGCGCCAAGCCTATGTGCCAAAATTTCCCAGGTGCGTGGAATGCCCTCCAATGGGGATGCACAAGGTCCGAATATTCCGGGGGGACGTTCCATCCCAAGAATCTCTCTCGCGTCGATGCGGGATACCTGAATGGACGAACGAACGGAACACAGAGTTTCAGTTCTCGATCGTACACGTTAATCGGTGTGTATACGTGGTCTCTTCTTTCTAATGCTCCAACGAACACGCAGATCCATCATCCACCGGGTGGGGTGGATCGCGCGAGCCAGGAGACGATAATGTTACAAGCACGCACCCGGACTCCTCGCTGACGAAAGCCAATGGACCGTTGACGAGAGTCTGGTTGCGCAGCAGCATCATCCCAGAACGATTCGTAGACACTTGTTTGCGTACGCTTGGATCCGCGGTCGCTTTTCAAACGAGCGAAACGTTTGGTTGCGCGACGTCCGCCGCGGCTTCAACTCTTACGAATCGACCGAGCGCGGTGCCAGGTAAAACGGGGCCGTGGGGATATGATGGTGGTGTGGATCGATCGGTACTGTTCAGGGGAGAAAGGAAAAGAGAGAGAATTTTGCGATAACTCACGCCCGATAAAGATCGAAAGATGTGTGTCTCTGTGTCTGTATATACGATGCACACGGTTTTTGTGTTTTGTTTTTGGTTTTTTTGTTTGTTGAAGTGAGACGCGGTGCAGAGGTCGTGAATACGTTCCGCAACTCACTTGATTCGCGCTGTCGCGGCCCTTACCTTTTATACGCGTTACGGGTCGACCGATTCGGCATGGCGTGCCGGTTGAGAGTTTAATTCGATTTACGATTTACAAATACGAGAAACCTTTAGTTCGGCTGAGTCTAGGCGGTCACGCGAGAACCGATCTCACCCCGGCGTGTTGTCCCTAGCCCACATCCGTGACGCGATGCCCTTTCGCGACCATTCTTAATCTGTTATCAAGGCCGTGTTTCGGGAACGATCTCCTTCCGGCTACCATCTCCGCGAAAAAATCCAACGACCCAGAGGGGTTGGTGGGGTGAAGGGCCGTCGTTGTCGCGCGACGGAATTACGAGGGTCCGACATCGCTCGGGATCGATTGGACGGCCGCTGTCAATCGCGTAATCGAGGGCTCGTTTCGTTATCGGTTTAACCGAATAACGCTCTCGAACCGATCGAAAATTCGGAGAAATTGCGACGCACGCGGCGTCGGTCAGCGTCCTGAAATTTCACGCTGGGCGACCCTCGAATGGTTGCGTCGTGTCCCGTTCGTGTCCCGTTCGTGTCCCGTCTCCCTCTGTCCCGCGCAACAGCCCCCGCTGGCCGCCACGGCTATCGCCGCAAACCATTTTTACACGCGGTCACCATTTGGCGCCGCGCGAAATTCATCTCGGCAAGTGCAGTTCGGTATATCGCGGGGCCGCTCTCCGGTTCTCGAAGCTACACGCGACCACAGACTTCGCGCATCGCCCGGATTAAATCATAAAATTGTCCCCGGAACGGTCGCGGCATTCCAGTGATTTACGAGGAGGAATGCTCGACTCTCTCGTGTAGTACACTCGCTAGACATCGCCACGTCGCGTTTCGGACGATTCCACGGCGAACAGAGACGTGTTTCATCCGACGAACGCGATCGAAAGAACCGATGAGCAACAGTAGCAGCAGAGAGAAATATTTATTGAGCGCCCTGGGATAAGATCACCTCAGGCGCTGGGAAGAGTATATACGTTGTTTCAACAGGAAAAAAAAATACTGAAAATTTCAGTCAGTTGTGTGTTGCAATAGGAGAATAATATAAAATGAAGTGAAATAAGAAAAACAAGGAAGAATAGATAAATATTTTATACATTGAATAATGAGGATAAAGGAAGGTGAAGAGTTGCATAATAAGTGGCAAACATGGTTCTAACTTCTAAGGTATCAACAATTGTATACAAATAGATAATCGAAGAAGAGGGATCGTCAAATGATCAAGAGCTGTCGTCATCTTTCTATTGCAAGTAGATGACGATAGTCCAGTTTGTCTGCCCTGTGAGTAGAGGTGCCAGTTTTGAGGGCGCTGTACGAGGCAACCTAAAAAATAGAGTCTCCTAGTGGCAATTTTCAGGCATTTAATCTTTCGATAATAGGGCGTTATGTGTCCTGGCATCAAATATAAATCCCACACAGACGTTAAACGAACGTTCCAGCTGTAAATTGAGGTTAAGCTATATTGAGATCAGGTGTTCACATAAAGTGGGGATGAGTAGCTAACAGCGAAGTTTGAGTAGATACAACACCTTGCTGATCCGTTTGGAGGTTTCGACCACTTATAGCGCAAAGAACCAACGAATCCAAAACCGCGGAGAACACGAGAACTTTCGTGGTCCGTGCGTGGGGCGTCGGAGACAGAGTAGCAGCGTGACGTTTTTTCACGATTCAGCAGATATATTTACGAGCTTTGTTCGCTCGTGTAATTCCCCGCGACTTATACAGCGTCGCACGCCATTGTCCGTGGTGAATATCCAGCGGGAAAATTGAATGACAAACAATGGGCCCAACCGAGGCCGATTATGGTAACAATGTGAACGAAGCGACCGGTGACGCCGGTGCTCGTGATTCTCTCTTCTTCGGATCTACGGACCGACACAACGTGCGCCGCGACCCTTCTTTCTCGATCCTCCCGCGCCTTCACCCTCGCGCGCGCCACGCTTCCCTCCCTCTCGACTTTCTTTCTTTTTTTTTTGTTGTCCATTCGCGAACGTTTCTCCATCAACCGGTCAACGTACCTCAACTATCAACCGTGTACCTACCAGCGATGCTTTCGATTTTCCAGCAGGCGCATAACCCAGAGAGTTTCGTCCGGCCGATCGAAGGCGTTCATACAGGGTAGAGTCCATCGACGAGAGGACAATGCCTTGTCGCCGCGAAGAGACAAACATTTCTAAGCGCTGCTTCCCTTTGTCCGTATTCCCCGTCCACTCACCCTCCCACTGCTCGCCCGTTCCTCTCCCTGTACGCGTATTGAAAGCAACACCGGTCGATCCGAGGGATCCGACGAGTCTGCCTCTCTCGTCGTGTGGCGTTCGGGGTTCACCGTGGTGTGCCCTGACGCGTTTCCGATCGGCCACGTTCGATGGCGAACGCGAAGGAGAAATCGATATTCGCGGTGGTTGTTTTCGTGCAAACGACCGTCGCCAGTGGGACCGTTCTGCTCGCTGGAACGATAGTAGGTACGTACTTTCTGTCCAAAATTTCAAACCCTCGCCACTCTCTCTCTCTCGTCGGATAATACGGCTGGCACAATGACGTGTCCCGGTGGCGATACTGTCATTATTTTCACGGTACCCCGAGAACTGTTTTTTATTTTTTCACACGATTTTTAGGCGATCCAAGTGTCGTCGTCGTCGTTGACTCGCTTTATCGTTCCAGCTCGTCATCCGCCTCGTACGCGCTCGTTACTAGATGCTTTACTCCAGTTCGTCGACTCTCTTCCTCCATCCATTCCCTTCGCAGCAATCTCTCTCACTCTCTCGTCGTTACAACGGGTAGGATCGACGGCCGTGAACGAAGTAGTCGCGAAAACTCGCCGAGATAGGAAACCCCTCGTTTCGGCTTACTCCACCCTCGGTATCGACGCTTTTCCCGTTTCTGCATTCAGAATTCCGAGCTATTCCTACGTTCCCATGATTCGCCATCCACCTCTCCCCCACCCCATCCTCCTCGCCGAGCCTTCCCAGGCCGTCGACTCGAGATATTCTCGTCGTAAACTGTCGCGATAGTCGGCCCGAAAAGCGGCCCGAACGAAGAACAAAGGAATGCAGATTGGAGAGACGGGGATTAACGAGGATTAACGGTAATTGGGCGGTCTCCGGTCTGGGCTTGTCGTCGTTCTCCCACGTCGCTACGGCATCCGCGTCGTTAATGGTACCCGGGGTCCTTGTGTTTCCCCTGTTTTGCGCGCTTCTCGTTCGTTCGTTCGTTCGTTCGTTCGTTCGTTCGTTCGCTTGTTCGTTCACCGGCTCGTTGGTCTCGTTCGTTCCGAGATAGCGGTCCCGTGTACCAAGGGTGCAGATTGACACTTTTTTCCGATTCAAGAGCCATCGCGATTATTCAAATCGCGTCCCGCGAGGCTGGGCGAAACGAGGCGCGACGCCCGCGACGCTGGTACTCGCAGACTCGACCGGATTCGAGGAGCAGGAGGAGGTATTCTACTTTCCACCTGAGAATTCTACCCTCGTTACGACGAAATCAATTCGGCCTCTCCGTTAATCGTACTCTTCTCTTCCCGTTCCCTGCCCGCCTCTAGGGACGAGACTTTCGCGATCCGCGCGAATAAATCAAATCAAATGTAGCCGCGGTTTCGCGCTCGCGGCCAACCTCGAGAGAGGACCAATCCAGCCTCGTTCCAACTGGACAGAAACCAAGGTATATTAACGAAGGACTCTTCGTTTAGCCGCGACGAACAACGGACCATTTCACTTCTTTTTTCTCTTCTTTCACATCCGTTTCTATCTCCCTCTCTCGTTATCCTGCGGGTAATCGTCTACTCGTCGATTGCGCGCCACTTGCACGCAATTATTTTCGAGGAGACGTTAATGCGACCAGGTGAACTGCGTCGAAGGGGGAAAGGAATTCACGGAAACGAGATCTTCATCTCCCAGCCGCGAGCGTAATAAACCGTATTATGCGTGCTGCTTGTGTGTACCACCTTCTCTGATACCCGTGCGAATATATCCGAGTTATCTTTTTAGTGCTCACACGCGCCCACCTCTCCCAACCGCCGACTCTCGCCGGTCTTTGTGCCCGCGCCACGACGGAACAGATCGTCTGTGTATACGGAGGAACATTAGGGGGCTGCCGCGATAACGTTCCCGCGCGCGGCCGGAAAAAAGATCGTCCGAGATACGATATCGTCTCGTAAAAGCGACAGACACATATTTTACGGGCGTCGCGTAAAATTATGCGAATGTCTCGTTTCACTGGTTTCGAGGCGATACCGGGAGCTCGTTGGTACGTCCAAGATCCTCGATTGGATATCCCGATCGACGATTCCAGGAACGTGTTTTTGTACGCCACGACAACGAGGGAAATTGAAGTAGATTAGGAAAGTGTATGATCCGACGAAAGACTCGTGGAAACTACGTCTTTTATATTCTCTTTGGTGCATGGGTTCCCACGGTCGGTAACAATATTAACCCTCTGTAGTCGATTGTACCCTCTGAATAGACAAAATGTATGGGGAATTAAGAAATTCCGTGGTGCAAAGGTCATTGTCCAAAGCGGGAAAAAGAGAGAGATAGAAAAGAGAACGAGGACCGGACGAGCAGAGTTTCACCGTAAAAATGCATAGTCGAAAGTTCGAGTCGAGGGCTGAGACGAAGGTTCTCGAATATACATACGTCTGGTGCCTGAAATAACCTCTCATTTGTTCCAAGCCCCGACGCGTCCCTCTCTCTTCTCTCGTCTTTCTTCTCGTCCCTGTTTCCGTCTTCGCCCCCAACCACCCTTCTCCCGCGGCCTCACCCGACCCGTTTATCCCGACAAAGAATACGCGAGGGCGGCGGCGCTGGCCCTAGCTAGAATAACGTCGATTTCGCGAAATTCTTCGGAAAAATCTCCATAATTTCGGGAATTGCCTTTTGATGTTCGAGATGAAAGAGCTCCGCGACCGAGAGAGCGGTCTACCGAACCGTTCCGCCTATTTCTCTGTAACTCCGGTTGGGCTGCCTTCCTCTCC